CGTCACAAGAGCAATGGAGTGCCGGAGAGGGAGAAAGGAATGACCCTAGTATCCAGGAAAAGCAAGGGCTGGTAATAAAGACTTTATTACATACACAACGTATTAACCCACTACTACCGAAACTCCTGATGTCTGAAAAACAACGATTGTTTTGAGCAACATGCCCCACCCATATTAAACTTCTTACCTTTATATCAGGAGATATTCATTGACCACTTTCTGTAAGCCGTTTTTTATTGGTCCTTCTCTTATGTTTTAATATTCTGGTTCTAGACCACTTTGAGCTAAAATAACTCCAGAAATAAATAATAATTAAATGCAAAAATATTATAATTTGCTCTTAGATTATTAAGTTTTAGATTACAAAAGTCAGATTCCAAACCAGGATATGTTGTTAGGGAAAATGAACGAACAGAATATGGAAGAGGTCTAAACCTGTCGCCAACAACAAAAAAATTAAGAGCAAGGTAGATATGATTTTCGTTTTTCTCACCCTAACATAATACGTTAGTTCTATAGTTATTATTGAATTTGGACATCGAACAAGATACCAAAAATAAACACAAAATTATATGGATTAAATTACATTATTATATTTTTAATTGTACTACGCATACTTTCTGAACTTTAACCCATCAATGTTCTATTACATGAAATGTCACTAAGCTAAAAGATTTATCAGTAATCAGCCTCCTGAATGACTTATTTTTTGAACCTCAAGAAGTAAGCCTCCTAAATGACTTAACAAAAAATGTCAAAAATTTGCAGAAATTGGATGTTTTCTCTTTTATTTGTTAATTTTTTTATCTGGGTTTGTTGCATTGAAGTCCATCCTTAACTCACCTATTTTATCAAACGATTTATGCATCACAATTATAAATGCATTAACTGAATTCAAACTAGATATCTACTCTATACAGATTTTTGAAGTGTTTGAAATTAAATAGTTTAATTATGATTTTTAAAAAAACTTAAATACATCATAAATATAAGTTCTTCTATAATCATTGGTACTTTACCTGATAATATGTATATTAAAAAATGGCGCCTAAACATAAAGTTTTTCATTAAGTCAGACAGAATGTAGACAGAAAGACTAAATTGACATGAACTGAAGCTATTCAGAAAATTTAAGCCATCTCAGACTATTTCAATGAGAAAAAGCCCCAGCAGATATTAAACTTTACAATGAAATAAGAAGTTTTTGTGTTAGGTTACACACACATACAGACCACTTCGCAGAACTTAGTTATTTGGACTCATGAGACCTCAAAACGTGTTTTTCCATTATAAACCTGGATTCAAATTTTTTCATGATTGCAATACTTCCTATTACTATAGGTGAGTATGTAAAAGTAATGTATGGCAGATAATTAGGACGCAGTCAGTATTTAAGAATATTATTCATCGATGTTTTAAACCAAGTATGTGGGTCATCATCATGACAGAGTAGTACTTGAGCACCTCCATGGGCGGTAACATGCCCTGAGACGATGATCCACATACTTGGGTTGAAAAATAGGGCAAGAAAAATCTTTAAAAATTGACTGCGTCCGGATTATCTATCACACATGATATTTAGAACAATCGACTAACTTCCTTCAACAAGTAAAAGTAAAAAGTTTGGATAGCCCTGCTAACAATACACTTATATTAAACCACAAAATCCATATATAAATGGCATTTTATTTTGATGTGCAAAGTACATATCCAATTGTAGATTTTTATATTTAATAAGTTAAAAAAGTCATATGAACATAGATTAAATCTTTCTAATTGTTCGGGGAAATTTTCGTTCGAAACATAGAAATTTTAATGAATAAACAGAAAGCATTTTTATAAAAAACTATTAAGTTCTCTTTAAACATTTGATATATTGAGGCTGTCGATGTAAGAACCTTAAATAAATCACCCTTCAACAATATTAGAAACTTTTTTTAGAAGCAAATTATCAAAATACAATTGGAAAGCTAAACACCATACTATTAACTAGCTGATAGTAAAAGGTTAAGAGAATTCAAGAAAAAATATTATTGTATCCTTGAAATTTAAAAAAGTACAAAAGTATGATTTCAAAATAATAAACTTATTTTAAATTTTATTTCAGAGATTGCGGAAAAGAATATTACAAAGCATTAAACAATGAAAACAAAATAGATGAAGGTAATCTTAACGACATAGGATTAAATAATAAAACTTTCAGAAGTCTAATATACACAAATTATTACAGATTTCCAAAAAATTGTGAAGAAATACACACAAGAGGACGATATATGTGAACCTGAGTAAAAAAAAAAATATGAGAAAATTTTATACATTAGCATTTCTATAGTTAAGATATAGTAGAAGCATTGAAAATATAAAACAATGCATAATACAGATTTTAATATGTTAAGAAAAAAATAATAAAATATCTCATTAAGCCAAATATACTGCAGTAGAATCAAGATTGACTGGTATCACCATAGTAAGTAACTAGCTAACATAATTAATTATAAATAACTTCAGTGAATATTTGGTATCTACGTTTTCGACTGATTGCCAACTCCAGCAAAGATTGAATTAAATCTGATTTTTTAAAAATGTAGTATTCAATTTTCAACAGCACAAATAAATTCTTCTTATAATTTTTATTTATTATTTTAAAGTTTTGAGTAAAAATTTTAATAACTTGCTTTTTAATTTTAAAAAATAAGATGTTATAAAAAAAATAAATAGAAAAGCCACCACAGAAGCCTATCTAGGATTAGAAGAGGACTAGTTAAGGAAACTGATACATTGACCAAGCTTCAGAAACATGTTCCTAAGGAGGATGGATTATGGACAACAAAGGATTAAATCATGAAGAAAAAGTTTTTCTCCTTCTTTTAAATATAAATAATAAACATCAAATAGAAAGAATAAACATTACTTTATATCTAAGAAACTTCAAAGAAAAGGAAATTTATACCAAGTTACTCGGAAGTGAATGGCCATTACCATAGGGCATAGGGTAAAAAATATATATATATATAAATAACATAATCAAGATGAAAAATATAAAGCATAATAAATGCAAAAAAAGTACTACTTCTTATTTATAGTTATATCATCCGTTGGTCATCAGATCAGAAAACCCTCCAGACACACTGGCAAATCATAGTAAATACATGGGTGACAAATATTCAGGACGCAGTCATTATAAAGGTTTTCTAAACAGGCCCAATCCAAGCAATAAAAGGGGTTATTTACATGGTGAACATCCACAACTTGTGGTAGTTATTTCATTTATTTTATGATATTTTTCCTTTATTTGTGATCCGAAACCAACAGTAGACACAATATATGTCCCAAACACAGGAAAGCTTGTGAATGCTTCGCTAAATACCCTATTTACACACTTATGTGTATTATTATGAAAGAAGTTAGTCGTCTGTTCTACATATCATGGGTGATAAATATTCAGGACGCAGTCATTATAAAGTTTTTATTAGTGGCAATGTTTCAACCCAAACATGTGGGACATCGTCAGGGCGTGGTTCGAGTACTTGAATATGTTCAGTGCTTGAACCACGCCCTGATGATGACCCACATGTTTGGGTTGAAACATTGCCACTAATAAAAACTTTATAATGACTGCGTCCTGAATATTTATCACCCATGATATGTAGAACAGTCGACTAACTTCTTTCATATTAATACACATAAGTGTGAAATAGGGTATTTAGCGAAGCATTCACAAGCTTTCCTGTGTTTGTGACATATATTGTGTCTACTGTTGGTTTCGGATCACAAATAAAGGAAAAATATCATAAAATAAATGAAATAACTATCACAAGTTGTGGATGTTCACCATGTAAATAACCCCTTTTATTGCTTGGATTGGGCCTGTTTAGAAAACCTGTAAACACACCTTCACTGTGTACTTAACTCTTCATAAAATAAAGCGGTACATATTTTTGTTTTTTTTTAAATATCGAATATTGTATTATTACTATGAGATAATGTGCCTAAAAACTTAGAAATCTTCACTTATAATTTAAAAATTCAATAACTAATACAGAAGTAAAAAAATCTGTAACCACTAAATATAAAAACTACTGAACCAGTAATTACAGAATTTTTAGTCTTTGACATTCAACCTGGAAAACTGTAGCCAATCGCGCGTCAATATAAAGCAGGGAACAATCTTTTACACATATAGGAGTCGAGTTAAGAGAAGACAGTTTTTTCTGCCCAAGAACACCGCCTTATTTACATCAGGTTACGGATAAAGCAGGTATGTATGTACCCTGGCCAATTACTGAAGGGGAGCAATTACAACAACTGGCCAAAGTATACTTACACAATAGGAATAAATAAATAAAATTTGTTTTTACACTGAAGTACTTCAATTCTTCTGTAAATAGTTAAAAACATAGAGTTCGTAAAATAAGCCTTGTTAGTATAAAGCCATACAACTGATGTCCATATCCGTTAAGTTTTTTTGTCTTTTTCTATTTATTTGTCATAGCTTCTTTTAATTTTCCATATCAACTTTGAATGTAGTTCAGAGTTAATAAGATGATAGATTTATAATCCGAATTTAATTTGGGTGAAAACATGGAACAAAACAACTCAACATATATTTATTGTTACAGATACATGAATTTGAGGTGAGTTTAAAAATGAAACACCAATTAATTTTTTTTTCTCACCAGCTATTTTCATTAAAAAGTAGAATGATTGTTAGAACAGTGCAATATACTTGATGTATATCTTTTTTGACACACCCATCGATTTAAGATAAAGATACTAGAAGCTTGGTCAGAGATAATGAATACAAAAATTAAACATTTTCTGATATCAAGATTTTACAGAACTTATTCTCTTTAACTTTGACTCAAGCAACATGGGATATTATTAGTTCTACAAATTAAAAATTCACAATACAATAATGACAGACTGATGACAAGATATTAAAGCTCGTTAAAGAATTAAAGCATACATATTACAAATGAAAAATGACTTGTTCAACTTACTGAGTCGGAGTAAATTACTTGGACACCTCGAATGACACCAACTTGTGATTGAATAATCATCACTGCTTGGGAGAAGTGCATACCTATGAAGGTTACATCAAGGTTATATTTGTAAACATTTAGATATTGCACAATATTAAATTAATAATAAAAAAATATTAATTATAATTTGGAAATAAACTTCTTGACCCATGAGGATACTATGCCTTGAAGTAGCGTTAAGTTTAAATGAAAATTTTACAAATTTACTTTTTCTTTTTTTTTCAATTAGAAGGAATTTCAGAGAAAATATCAAAAGTTGAAGTATTAAATGTAAAAATTAATAATATAAACAATATATAAGTTGTAGAATCAATAACTCAATGACAACTTAATGTAGAATTATTAACACAATATTACAACATAAGGGTGGGTAATGACACTCATTAAATGTTATTGTTTTTAAAAATGTCTCATTTATAAAAGACAGTTAAAAATTATTTAACTGTCTTGAATAATTTATTATTTATTAACGATCTATTTTTAAACACATAACTTTATCTTAACTTGAATATCAACAATTAGCCATTCAGATAGATTAATTATTTGAAAAAAATTCTATACAAACAATGGAGTGAACGTCCTAGATTTTCATCGTTCAATGCCAAAAAAAGAAAACAAAAAATGGCATAATAAAAAGGCTTACCTAAGGTGAATTCCCATTGGTCTGATGCTAGAGACTTTTCGGGTATCAGTTCAAGTTCCAACATTGTAAATTAAAAAAATATATACTAACTTAAAAGACAATTTGAACACTAGTTTTGTTTGTAACGAAGTTACGTCTACGCTGCGCCATGAACCTGACGGAGCATGCGCAGCGTCAGGATCAGCTGATTATGACAACAAAGGTTATTTAGACAAGAAATTACTATTTTTCTTTTTTTTTTTCAATTTATTTATCACTTATATAACTGATATAAAAATTTCTTAATATGAAAAAAAATACTACATTAAAATTTACATGTTTGAATATCGTTTTTAATAATTATTAAAATAATAAGGAATTTCTATTTCAATTTAATTTTAATAATGTAATTTAATATTAACTAAAAGTTGCCAAGTTTGCAAAGTCAACAAGTAGACTGATAATATAAAAATTAATGAATTAGAAAAAAAATCTACAATGAACAGCTTGTAACATTAATGCATCAAATATTCCTTAATATCAATTAAAATGAATAACCGTATTATTAATAAAGTTTCTTTATTTAAATTCTTTTTATAAAACAAATGTACAAATGATAATGGACGATCGCAAAAATCCATCTTTCATCCATCAACTACATTACATACAACATAATCTAACAAATCAATTATTTAATTTCTAAATTAGTTCTAAACAGCATTACATCCATTTAATAACAAATTTAACAATATTATACACTGCAACACAAATAAGATTCACGATGAACATGACACAGGCGTTAACCTACTTAACGAAAAAACATATTAAAACGGAATTGCGTTTAATTATTACCAATAAAATATTAATTATTGAGTTTGAGGTTGAAAATAACAAGAAAATGCGGTTTGTTTTTCACTTTTTATTATTATTACCTCATTTTAAGAACACTCAGATGACAGCAGCGTGCTAAACTATGAAACACTTTTTAACCTTCCCCATTAATTTAATCGATCCTTTTGTGCAAAGATTAATCGAGCTTTAAATCGATTGTTAAAAAATCTAGCTCTTTGCTTATATTTTGTAACATTAATGAATTTGCTATAATACAGACACTTCAAAATATTTATTTAAAGTTTAAATTAAAAATAATATATATAGTATAAATATATTTTCTGCCAAGATATCATTATTTGAAGAGATTCTCAACCAATATATAAGTTGCATGTTCAATATGTTTCATTGAAATCAATGCTACATTTCAACGTTTTAATATATATTTTTTGTTTTGTAAAGAATAAATGTTTATCCAGAAAATATGATGTCAAGTATTTTATGCTTTATTCAATTTAGGTAATATTTTTAAGATTACATTTAAAATATTCGTGATATATGCTTTCAATTGAAGAATGAACGGAATCCATTACTTCTTATATGGACCATAGATAGATAATACCATAACTATCAATGCTGAAATAACAGAATTCAAACTTTCTTCGATATCAAAGAAACCACCCAGAATTATATGTTCAATTATAATGCTTTTACAAATCCAAGTGTAATTGATTTCCCCTATAATCTTCGCCTTAAGGTTTTCTAATGGATCTTATGTATTCTTCTTGACTAAAAACAAATCTAGATGCTGTCATTCCCTTTCATTAAGCTGTTTTTATAAAAAAAATCATATTTCTAAACGTTTTGTAATATTTTTCCTCCCATCGAACATTTGAAAACATTGATAGATTTATCGTTCCGAATACAATATCGTAGTAAACAGAGCTTGAAAGAAAATGTATTTCATTCATACACATGAACGCTTTAACTATGTAAATAATATTAATATACAACGGCATTATGCAAGTTCGTTAACTCGTCGATATTCCATTGATAGATTTCCGATATTTATCAATGATCTGAGCTAGTTAAAAGATTTTGTTTATTCAATAAATAAAGATAGTTCAGGAACTGTTACATTGATGAGTTTTCGAACGGTATGATGGATTTGCGATGTTCTTCATTGATCTCGGTGTTGAGTTTAGGAACTTGCCCATCGTCTTGAGCTCAAGTGATAACCATTAGAACTAGCTGAAACGACTAACTGCGATAGAGAATATAAACGAAACTCTAGGCTTCAGTAGCTGAAATGAAAAATATTTCATATTATTGCCATTATGTAAATAAATTAATAATATTGTAAGAATGTAAGTAGCAATCAAATACAAGCATTTTCAATAAAGCTCTGTAAGCCATAACTACTTCTCTCTTTCTCTCTCTCTCTCCCATTTTTGATATGCCGAGTCAAGGTATCTTTTTGACTGCGATACTTTCTGAGGGTCTTTCCTTTACCCTCGAGGACAGAAGAGAGCAGAAGATGTCTCTCTAGTTCGGCAGCGGCTCTATAGTTTTGTCCCAAAACGGAATTCATTTCAATAAATAAAAAACAAGAAATTTAATAAATAAACAAAATTCTTCTAAAACTCATTCACACATGCGTATATACAAATTAATAATATAAGCGCACAGTTAAATTGTAACAACAGTAAAAATACAGCGGAAAACTACCTTTCTTCAAACCGAAATGGATTTCAATAATATATAATATATGAAATTGCTAATAAGTGCTAAAGTTTATATATTAGTTCTCAAAGGTGTTTTTTGTTGCAATACCATAACTTCGTCAATTCTTCATCAAATCCAACGATTGAGTCCTCATTTTAAAGATCTTTTCCTTCAGATGAGAAAAATAATCACCACCACCCGAAATTTCATTAAAAAAGCTATGAAGGAAAATAAACTAGTTGCGAATAACTCAAGAAGTATTAATTTTCTTCGTCATTGTACCCATGATTAATTGAAAGATTACTAAATTTCCTATAATACAAAAAAAAAAAAAAAAAAAAAAAAATTGTAAAATCGGATTATTATTACTGTAGATACAGTCCAATAGATTTGATATAAATAAAAATGTTATCCTTTTCGAAAATACTGCTTTTATTATTCTACTACCGTCTTTCCTGGCTGATATATGTTTCACTATTTTTTAAAGGCTTTTGTTGGTAAATTTTATATTTAAAAAATATATATACAATATTATAAGCGAGGCCTTATTTTGAATATATTTGGCAATATTCAGAATTTAAAAAATGGTCCTTGAAAATTTATTTGTAAAAATATTTTGGTCTAGTATAAAACCTGTACCAAGAAAAATCTACGGGCCTAGCCTAGGAGAACACCTGAAGGATACAGGTTGAGGTCAAATGAAGAAATATATAAGGAAACAACAGATCTAGAAACTGACGCTAGGGTGGGAAGGCTGAGGTTCTATGGCCATATGATGAGGGCGAATTCTGAAAGATTAACCATAAAATCTTTCAGCGTATCCACAATCATAAGAATTTAAGCGGGTATTTTAAACAGATTAAGGATGATATGGACCAAGTGGAGCTAAGAGACCAAGATTGTTTGGACAGAGATAAGTACAGGAAGGCGCTCAAGAGAATAACGGTTCTTGCAGGAAAGAAGCGCTCCAAAAAGGGGTATATGGGAAGAAAGGAGGCAGATGAAGAGGAAGCATTAAATTCGTGGTATTTGCGTGGTCTTTAAGGCCTGTTCGTGAAAAAAAAAAAAAAAAACCCTGTACCACTACTGCCCATGAAGGGTCTTGAGTTCAGTACTATTTAGGGAAAGCACTGTTTCTGGGTCTACGGTTGTGCGAGGAGGTGATTTGACCGAGATCACGCTCAACAGCCAGGTTTTTCCCCTTAATAAATTATTTTAATTAAGGGCACCCAGTTTATAGAGGCTGGGTGTGGCCCCAGGAGTGTCTACCTACCCAGGGTCACCCCACGGCCAATGAAACAGAATAAATAATTTTTCTGCCATGAGCCGAGATTCGAACCTGAAACCTTTAGCATTGAAAGCTCAGTACCATTTTGGTCTATTATACTAAATGAAATATTGTATCTGACCAAAAAAAAATAAAAAACACAAGTAATTCCTTCCTCACATAGTACTTAAGGTCTACTTATTTGCATATTATTTTGCTGTTTATTCACTAAACAATATATTATTATATATTATATTATATATTATAACGAATTATTCGCACGGGCCAATTAGCAAATAATAAATTGAAGTGCTAAATCAAAGACAAGTCAGAAGGAACCCGACCACTGCCGGAGCTGAGAGTGCTGACCCAAATGGTAGTTCATTGACGATTCATCAGGCGGCCCTCCCAGATATGCTGCCTCTCGCGGAGGAATGCTAAGATTCACTGCTTTCATCGCTGGGCCATCAGGGAAAGCTAATTTGACAATTCATTCCGGGTTATTTAGAATCAATCTTAAAAGGACAGAGCAATCTAGAAATAAAGAAAAATAGAGTTTAGACACGCGTCAAAATGCCAAGCGATTTAAGCTTTTTAATCAAAACATAATAGGTTTCGGATATAATTTTTTTTAAGACAGAAGAGCCTAAATAGATTGCATATTCTACCAAGCCTTTAAGAGGCTGTAATATTATTTTATTTGTTTAGACTTTTGTGTTTGTTTCTTACATTTATTTAATTTTATTTATGTAAACTTATGCAGATTCTTAACACTCCAGTAGAATACGTATTTATTAATTCACATCGACTGAGAACATAGGCGGATCTATGGGGGGAGGAGGCTTTCGGGCTGAAGCCCCTCCCAAAATGGTAAAATATACAGAAAAAAATATTAAAAACAACCTCTTAAAGTATTCTTGTTCGTTTAATTACATTTAATAGGACTTCAAGAACCACTTAAACACCATTTCATGTAGGTAGTTAATTTCTTTCTTTTTTAAAAAATGTATTATCGTTATATGTATATGAAAAAAAAAATCTTTCGGGCTGAAGCCTCCCCCAAAATTAAATTCTGGATCCGCTAGTGACTGAGAGTAACGATTGGGCCGTGGTAACGGACTCAATGTGTGCAAATTTAGCGATCAAAAACCGACAACTACAATGGCGATATAAAAATGTGGAATTTATAGGAAGTGGAAAAGTGGAAATTAATAGGAAAGGGTAATATAAATAATGTTCTTCTGGGTCCCTTAAATAATGTTCCCTTTACTCTGTGGAATCAGCGGAAATAAACTCTCAGATAAGGCAGCCAATATGGTAAGAATGAGAAAA